CTACTTACGATTGGTTAGAAGCAGGATAAAGAACGGAACTGCTCGCCAGGGGGTCGTACATAATCGCTTCGAATGAAGGGCTGCTGCTGCCACTCACTACTCGCAGTGTCATCACTAGCTCAACATTTTTCATTTGCAGTGAAGCATACGGTATCTTGACACTGTCTGAAATAGAATCCAAATGATAAGTGCTTATTGCAATACCAGTTTAGCTCCGCACGCAACCGCGCGCATCACATGGTAGGCTTTAGTGAAACTGGACAACTTGCTGAATATTAGGTCACGTGGCTGAGAAACTAACAGTAAGATGTTTGGAAGATGTGTCACATGAATTTCAAAGGTGTCCAATTTTGCTGAAGATTGTCGCGTAATGCGCGCAGTAGCATGCGGAATGAAAATGGTACTTATCATGACTTCGTAAACATTTAGCATTGATATCGAGCTCGGATGATTTAGCGGTTTATAGAATTTCCACAATTGAAGAATCGGTGTGTAAGTGAAATATAACCAATCAATCAGCATCTAACCGAGCTATGATGAAATCGGAAATATAATGGAAATTTGCTATTGGTCCAAGTTGGGCAGCTCAACTTTCTTTGCTTCTTTAGATGAAAGGGTAGGAATGGAACATATTCCTGCTGCTAGGACTTGGTTTAATTCAATTGAGTGCACGCTCAACTGTTGCTACTTTTATCAGTACAGTTGCCGCTCATACCACTTTCTGTCACCTACATTCAACCCTCGCCACCTTGATCGCTTGCCAGTGATGATTGCAACGAAGTTGGAGAGACCTGCATTCAAACGCTCTTATCATTCCTTGTCATTTCTTATCAGTTCATACTGTTCGCAATCGGTGTCCCGGTCCCAACCTCCACGCAACGTGTAGGAGCTAATATTTACTGTCACCACGAAGGCTGCAACGAAATTAGCAGTACTCAAAATCCTAAACTTCCTTATCAACCGTTTCTTTGCGTTATCGCTTGTTATCACTTCTCATCATCCGCTATCCGTGTTCCCGTCCCATCCCCTATGCCACATGTGAGAGCCAAGGTTTCAATGTAATCGCAAGGGCCGCAACGAAACTGGTATCCCCACCTTGACGCCCCTTATCAGTTCTTATCAGTTGCTACCACATTCGTTCACTCAACTTCTTGGTCCCCGCCTCACTCCCACATATCATACATGAGTGCAAACTCTCCACTGTCAACGCGAACGGTGCAACGAAATTGGTGACATCAACATTTCGACGTCCGTTATCAGCTCCTATCAGTAGTTATCACTTCCCGCCACCCGTCATCAGTGTTCACCTCCGGCCCCCTATATATCCTAGAAGTTTGAGCGCTCTGGGTCCAAAGGGGGTGAAGTTATGAATTTCCGGTCAGACACATACACACACACCACCACACAATCGCTTAGCCGATTATATATATGTAGGATAGCTTAGAAATATCCCATCTTACTAAATAGTCCCAAGTCCGCTAACTATGTCTGTGCGTGTGTATGTGTGTGTACGTCTGTTTGTCACGAAATCCATAGCGCGCTTCGTTGCAACAGTGAAGCGCTGAACTTTAAGTATGTGGTGGGACGGTAACATATTTGCTAGGAGTCAGAAAGTGATAACGACTGATAAGATCTGATAAGAGGCGCCAAAACGCCGATTCACGATATCCATAGCGCGCGTCCCAGCATCAGTGAGGCGTTGGTTCCAAGAAGTGATGTAGAGGGTAGGACGGGAACATCTTTGGTGGGGGACAAAGTGATAACGGATAAGGCCGATAGTAATGATATGCGCAAGAATATAGAGATCACTCAAAACCACACTTTAGATAAACATTTCTCTCCAATATTCTTTGAGTTGCGGTGATCTTAGCCTAAAATGTAGAGCGCTGCGCTCTCCACAATTCCTAAGAATGTATGGTCGATGCACGGAGCAATACGATAACGTTAGTGGATATTTCTATCACATCATCGAACCCAGGGTCAACCCTATCGTTGTGACTCTTCGAAAATTTTTTACGACCCCCCCCTTCATGGTTGATTTGATACGACCCCCCCCCTTGTACGTTACACTTGTGTAAAGACAGATTGACCTTAATATTTATTGCTACTCAAGTCAAATCAGCTTCCGAATAATGAGATGCACTCGAAGGTACCCGAAGGGTACCCCGAGGGGTTACTAAACTAAGAGATCGCCAAACTGAATCAGTTGCCTTAACACATTGTGGACCGCCGTTGAATGAAAACTTCGCCAAAAATGAGTCATCTATCAATAAATTTTTTGCCCGCTTGAAGATGTGTGCAAACCAAAACATACCAAAACATACATTTCTTAGGGCGTATGCATAGCGGTGGTCCGATATCGTAACGATCGTTAGTGTCGCATAGTATTTGGTGCGTATCGATTGACGAAAGTGCGACACTTACGATCGTTGCAGTCGTCCGACAGCAGCGGTCGTAAGTGTCGCAGTCGTCCGACAGCAACGATCGTTACGATCGGACGACCGACTATGCATGCGCCCTTATCGTGGATAATGAGTCACGAACATGAGGCTGAGGGTTTGAGAATTGAATTAAAGGATATAACGCTGTCTCCAATGATCCCCACTCACCAACTGTGACCAAGCTACTAAACTTAGAGTGGGTTGCTCTGTACGTTTTCAAGTTTGACATAGCTGCGCAGCTTTTTACGAAGAATGAGTTCATTTACACATGTACGCGTATTGAAACAGTGATACATATCGTTTCACTGTGAGTCCTCAAGAATGTTTTGGCTTGGTAGACATTTACAATATCGCGACAGCAGATGGTAAGCAGTGTTCCGTTAGTATGATGGACTTTCAAACCGATATTACGATTCGTACATGTACTACGAATCCTTCAATGCGGCCATGACCTGAAAGTTAACCAACGAAGATGGTTAAGTTAACCAACCGCAAGTTGCCCCTCTAAGACCAAGGAAATCAGGGGGCGGAACTCGAGAGCAAATGATCATTGTTCACCTACCCTGGAGTTTCCCCTCCTCCGCTTGAACTTAGTCCCATCTCAACAGAAAGTATATCTTTGAAGCAGCTGAAAATGCATTACCAAAGCGCCGTCGCGATAGGAAAGTCGGAAAGTGAAAAGAGCACACTGAATTCATACAAAAGAAACGGATGTGAACAGGTCGACAAAAAAAAGTAGCGATGTGATTTCAAATTTGCTGGTTGGCGCCCTTTTGCCTTGCTGACGGTGGAGCGCATCTGCTCAAGGTGAGGAGCCGTCGAACGGGAATGTGAAAAGTTTAGGAGTTTTTTTTGTTTAATTTCAGGTAGTCCGGAAGATATCGGCGGATGTTGGATCAGCGTGGTTCATCCTTCTCAAGGAGTGCCCATTTTTTCTCAAACCCTTCACAATGAAAAAGTTATAAGCCAAAAAATTAGATTGCAAGAGAATTTTTACACTCCTCTTTCTAGGGCTATAACTTCCTTCATGTTCGAGCTTCAGCGCCATAGTGATTTGATTTAAAAAATTCAAATTATTCTCTAGCCAATCATGGGTATAAATTCTTCGAAAGTTAATTTATTAAAAATTTTGGACGTTGTGACTTTCTCTGGTGCAAACCGACTTTTTTGCTTTCAAACGATCATAACTTCCTTCAAAGTCATTCATTTAGGAAGCTGAACGCGATATAACACACTCCAGGATTCAAGCTTTCTAACGAGTACCCAAACGTTCCTGCAAAATCAGTAGTTCAAAATTTAGTCCCGTTGTAACCATTATAAAGGGCTGGTGTAACCATTTCTTTGAAAACGCGACTTTTTTACCTTCAAACGATCATAACTTCCTTAAAAGTCATTCATTTAGGAAGCTGAACGCGATATAACACACTCCAGGATTCAAGCTTTCTAACGAGTACCCAAGCGTTCCTGAAAAATCAGCAGTTCAAAATTTAGTCCCGTTGTTACTTTTTATTTTGAGGGGTATTCTTCAAGCCATTTTCTCGAAAACGCGAGTTTTCTTAGGTTTCACTGCCCGTAACTTCTTGGAAGACCAATTTCATGTTTAATTTAGGATGTGCTAGAAAGCTCCGAGCATGCGCTTGCACTACATCCCTTGCCTTGGTGCGCGCCACGCCTCGGGCGCCCTTCTAATTCGCTGATTCATTTGAAAGCTCATTCAGAGGGAAGCGTGGTTTACAGATGCTCTAGTATCAGTAATCTTGCGCAAACGTATCGTGCCGGCTATCATGCTGGTCTCTAAAGGCATTAGTTTCATATGTGGTCTCGTGGCTGTCACAATGCGAGTACTTTTTTCAGGATGCTGCAATCTTCCACTTCATGACTGCGTCCTTGCAGGGAGAAGGCTTTGCATAATTGCATGAGAAACATCGAAGCTCTCATGCAATTATGCAAAGCCTTCTCTTTGTGTTGCACAAGTGTCTACTTATGCAGCGCATGCGCTTCTCTCATGCTTTCCCTGGAATGTCCTTATGTGTGAGATGGATAATTGGAACTATATTCAAACACTTTCTTTGCTGCGTTTGCTCTTCTCCTTCGTACCACTATCCATACTCAGTAGGACATCACCAAGAATTTTCAGTGCCGGCCACCAAAAAATTACGACCCCCCCTCCAAGCTCAATTCAGTACGACCCCCCCGTTGTGACTCGTCACAACGTAGGGTTGACCCTGCTCGAACCCAATCCGACCGCTAAATCACGCTGAGATTCGATGCATGGTGGTTGTTTACAGACACCGCTTTAGCTCCGCACTCCACTGCGCGTATCAAACGGTGAGCTTCTGCGAAGATGGGCAGCCTATGAAACGGTCAACTAACGCATTTTATGAAGCAGCTCGATGTACAGCGGTGGACCTAACGCTTTATCGGCTGCCTGCTTCACTTATGGTTAGGCCTTCCGTTTCATGCGCGCGGAGGCGTGCGGCGCTAAACTGGTTCACAATGAGAAAACAACAGTTTTATTGAACAATGCAAGTGTGCATGTCCTTGTAATGTCGCTACGATTCATTCCTCTTCCTCCTCTTCCTCATCTTCCTCAGAACTTCCACAGAGGAGAAGAGTGGCGCAAACGTCGTCAGATGAAGTATCCTGAAACCTTCTTTAAGAATTTGATACCATGAACATCTTGCTTTTACTACCAGCCAATTTCTGGAACTCAAAGGCAAGGATCAGGATCAAATTGGTGTGCGCAACCCCATCCGGAGTACGGAAGTAGGGTGGAAGGTGGATGTATAAAGGATGAGAAAAAAAGGAATGAAAAGAAGCTCGTGAAAAACACAGAAAGTACGAGCTTTCCTGCTCTACGCTGAGGAGATTTCTGAGAGGCATGCACGTGGATAGAGATAATGAAAGTCGCGGCGGAGGGGGTAACACATCCTGTAGAGAGCGCATAGCAAATCAGCAGGGGTCGTACGCTGCATGTTGATGAGGGGATGGGGATGGGGGGGCCCTAAGAGGCCCATCGCGCGGCAAGAAGGCAAAGTCAGCGGACGAGTCGCGCGCGTACTATAGGATTTCGCGTCAAGTTAAATAGTGTCCCACTGCACGTCCTACATCGCACACCACGCGCTGCAACTCGTCCGCCGACTCTGCCTTCTTGCCGCGCGACGGGCCTCCTGGGGCCGTATGCTGAATGTTGGGTAGGGGCTGGGGCCCCCGACACGCGATGTTGTGGCTCCCAGCAGAGTTTCGTCGCGGGACCTACAGGTGACTGGGGGTACCCGGGGATGGGGAGAGCTGGAGCAGGGTCAACCCTATCGTTGTTACTCTTTGGAAATTTTTTACGACCCCCCCCCTTCAGGGGTGGTTTGATACGACCCCCCCTTTGTATGTAACACTTGTGTAGAGACAGTGTTTACCATCAATATTTATTTCTACGTAAGTCATCAAAGATGAAACTTTAGCAAAATCCACGACAGAAATTCATCGCTGCTTGCAAACACGAAAAAATGAGATGCATTCAAAGATATCCGTGTACTCCAAAGGGTTACCAAACTAGGAGATGAAATAAACTGAACCAGTGACCGGAATATTGACAATATTACCTGATAAAAACTTATGAGAAGTCAGAAAAAATTATCGCTCCAATTGAAATACTGAAATCCTTCACGTTCTTCAATTGCAACACAATTTTTACACCCCTCTTTCTAAGGCTATAACTTCCTTCATATTCGAGCTTCTGCGCCGAAGTGATTTGATTTGGAAAATTCAAATTATTCTCTCTCCAACCATGGGTAAAAATTCTTCGAAAGTTAATTTAATAAAAATTTAGTACGTTGTTACTTTTTTCTGTGCAAAGCGACTTTTTGACCTTCAAACGATCATAACTTCCTTCAAAGTCATTCATTTGGGAAGCTGAACACGTATAATAAACTACAGGATTCAAGCTTTCTAACGAGCACCCAAGCGTTCCTGAAAGATCAGCAGTTCAAAAATTAGTCCCGTTGTTACTTTTTTTTGAGGGGTATTCTTCAAGCCATTTTCTCGAAAACGCGAGTTTTCTTAGGTTTCACTGCCCGTAACTTCTTGGAAGACCAATTTTAATTAGGATGTGCTAGAAAGCTCCGAGCATGCGCTTGCACTACATCCCTTGCCTTGGTGCGCGCCACGCCTCGGGCGCCCTTCTAATTCGCTGATTCATTTGAAAGCTCATTTAGAGGGAATCGTGGTTTATAGATGCTGTATCAGTCATCTTACGAAAACGTAACGTGCTGGCTATTATCCGATATTACCAAGAATCCCACTGTCGGCCACCGAGAGGGTACGACCCCCCTCCCTCCAAGCTCAACTGAGTACGACCCCCCCCCGTTGTTACTCGTAACAACGTAGGGTTGACCCTGCTGGGGAGTCGCAGACCCACTGGGCAACCAGCGCACCTTTGATTTTGTAGCTTTGTTTCCATTCTTTCATTGCTGTCTTTTGAATGAAGAAAAGGTACTGACGAGCGAATATGCAATCAAGAACAATAAAAGAACGGAAACAAAGCTACAAGGTCAAAATCAAAGGTGCCCCGGTCCCAACTCCAACATTCAGTACGGCCCCAGGCCTGCGACACAGATAAGATATCAAACGGGAAGCAGGCCATGATAGGGGATTTGATCAAAGTCTTAGCCTGTTAGCGATGCGTTTCGTTGTGCAAAGGTGGCGCGACCTCTGCAGTTCAGTAAGGCTGGCCAGGATCTACCCTTTAATTTAGATCATTCAGAAACAAACCTGTATATGATCGTGTAACATTGAGAGACCATTGAGGAAGCGACGGCAAACAGACTTCAAAAACCTCGGAGCACTTGCATCGCATTCCTCTCTGATAGCCTAAAGCACAACATCAGAAAATATACCGTCGGAACTCCGTAAACAGGACTGGAGAGTAAGGTTTAATCAACCTCTTCAATGTCCTTTCCTGCGGAGACCATTTTCTTGACATTGTCGACAATACCTTTGCACGCTGTGCAGAAACGACTTTCAGAAAAGACAGGGGAAGCGATGACGGCGCAGACAACAAGAAGAAATAGCACTTTAGAATTCATAGTTCCAACCAACTAAAGTTGAATTATTAGCTAACAAATATATTCGAGCCGAAACCGTTGGTATAGAAAAAGCGTGTGCCCTGCTTTGGGGGACATAGTCACATTTTTGGGGGAAGGGCAGGAGGGAATTCAGCGGCGGCGCGCACGCGCTGTAAGCTGGATGACGTCACAGCAACCTCTCCGCAAAAAAGGTTGGAGCGTCACGGAGAAGAAGTCACGACCCGAAGTTTTTTCTGACCTTCCGGAACTTGAACCCACCCTATATGTACTGCACTAATTTTGAAACAAGAGAGAAACACGCCTTTTGTTGTTGACGGCGGTCCCGGCCATTGCCCGCCCGCTCCGCCGCTCGCTCGCTGTGACGTCACCAAACACGCACCGCGTGGGTGCCATCGTTGCGTCTGGGTGTGAACACGGTTGCATTGAGCGGTGACCGTGAGCCGTGTCCCCGGGCGAGGATGGATCCCCGTCATTGCTAAGGCCTCAGGGAGATGGAACAGGAGATCAATTGAAGGGTTGCGCCTCATCACTTATCGCTTTTCGGTGGTCCTATGGCGCGATCCTTTTGAACGGTGTTGTCGACTCTTTCCGGATTGCAAATTAAGAACTCATTCGAGATAAGGGAGGGTTGTGGGGATACGTAACGTGCCTACAGGTCAGCGGAACAATTGTCTCGACATTCTGCACTCTGAGGGCTAAATTCCGATCGAATTCCTTTTCATCTGGGAGAACTCATTGTTGCTCTCACTAATGCGCGACAGTTGCAATGAGGAAAGTTGCTTAAGGACTCCTTTTCCTAGCATCCTCTAAGGCTCTGAGGGCTCTGCATAATGATACCAGACCCGACGGTACCAGCGCCGATAAGTCTTCATGATCAATTTTGGGTTAGTAAGATCTACAGTGCCCTCGGATGTACCCCATTTCTCTCCGGTACGGAAATGACTTAAAGGCAGCGAGATAAAGGGAGTGCACATCGGGGAAGCATATGCACCACACAATCAGTTACTTGGCTGCCAGGGAAGCGAGGTGTGGCGCTTTCACGACGAAGGTGCGCTGGTTGCTGAGCAGGACTTCGAAAGCACTCCGCCCCCAAAAGCGATCCGCCCACTAGTTTAGTTGGTGATTTGGACGAGCTGCGTTGCCAGCAGCGGCACAACTAAACTCGATTGGAGCGTGGTTTGGCATGGTGCCACCAAACGCGTTGCGCTCGTTCATACGCTGAGCTGTCACCTGTTCATGAGTGAAAACCAACGGCCAAAAAAGGAGGCCCATTCTGCGTTTTTTGACGGCTCTCTCCGCTTTTTTCACCACACACCTTTTCACTTTTCACCGTACCATTGAGCACCACCACGCCTCCTCTGAACCTTCCTACATTTGTCGTGATCGCTGCCTTTGAAGGCGGATTTCTCGATAAAAAGGTGCCTATTGGAAATAAGGGTAGAGGTGGTCAGTGTAGCAGGGTTCACGAAGAAACCTTGGAAAAGGTCCGAACTCGAAAAAAGGGACCTTGCTGACCTCCGCCTGATGCGACTCTCAGGCCGCCTTTATTGTTCGTGAGTTGTGAGATTAGGGTAGTATGCGGTAGAGTAGGATACTGCCCTGACAAGATCATATACGTGACGATTGGAATCGCTGGAGAGCAGTAATATAGATTAGGCGTCTTCAGGCGAATCGATTAATACGTATCTAATCTTGTCAGCGCACTATCCTACTCTCCTGCTATCCCAGTCTACTACTGTCCTATTCTTCCCGTCACATATCTTTTTTATTGTGAAATATGATAGACTATCCCATCCCCGGAGCGCGAATTAGTATAAACGCGCCTCATCGTTGTGCCCGCTATCTAATCACACCGTGTATAGACCCAAGGCGAGTGATTGGATATTCGTGGTTACCGTTCCGCAGCCAATACGCCGAAGGAGGCCATGCTGGATTGCTGGCGCATACAATCCTTCGAGCGATAACGCTGTTGCTCAACATTGAGTTCCCTTCCTACTACATTAGGTATTCCCCTTCTCTCGACGTCGTTCTGATCGTGTATCCCTCCCTGAAGCCAAACCCGGGATAAAAAACACGGTGATAATGGGCGCTTGCGAGTAGTGAATATCCTGCTCACGGAAGGCACCGATAAGTGGAGATGAGATCGCAAGCATCTATGAAAACTTCAAAATTAAGCCCTTAGCCTTCAGTAACGTTGGATGTGGTACGATTGGGAGACAGGGCTTTCAATAAAGACAAAACGAGAGAGAGCACGCCGCTTGAAAGAGCACGCTCATCTCAATATCAGTCGTGGTGGATGGATGTTGCCAAGGGAGTCGACGGTGGCTAGGTCCGCTAGAATTGGCGGCCCTTAAACTGCTGAATTTTATGCGAAACTGAGTATTATCTATGTACTGCAGACATAACCGATCCCTCGATAGTCCTTCCCCTAACTAGTAGGGCTAATCCCAGGGTTTACCTGCAAGCAGCAGCACAAGGACGGGTTGTGTCGTGACTTGCTTACGACCTGGTGTTTACGATATGGGCCGGGAAAAACGCTCCAATCGAAGTCGCATGCGGTCTTACCGCGAATGTGGAATGCACTGAAAGCGCGGAAAAGCCAGTTACGCGCGCAGTCGGTCAATCACGTCAGTGTTCGTCAGTGCAGTTGTCAGCGTCTGTTCGTCATCGAAGCCAGTCGGCTGGACCTGTCAAGCGCAGTTGGTCCATCTACGTCTCGTCACGCCGGAGAAGCCATCTGCCCGGCACGGTGGACCAGCGCTGTCGTCCTGACCCTCACCCTGGGCTCTCCACACGCAACACGTCGATCATGGTTTGCCTCTCATATCTCATTCTCCTCTCTTCCAGCTATGCTCAAAATGTATATATCTCTGATCGTAGTTCAATATTGTCTTCGTAGTTTACAGTCATAAATCGGTCATAATGTTCTGTGTAATAGTGTGCATTTCGTAGTCGGTTCAAACCCCATTTATTTGCTCGTAATCATAGCTAGCGTAGTGACACATAAATATTAGTCACTAGGGGTAAGGCCTTAGTAGCCCGTGGCAAGGCGTCGCAGAGCATTCGGCGCGGCAGGTGTACCCCGCGAGGGTGTGTGGGCACCGACAACTCCCACGTTCTGGCGTGGTCCAGGTGCGGGAACCCCGATGCGCACTTCAGTCTGCACCTGGTCACGACAGGTTGTAACTTCTTCATCGCTGCCTGTCATTTCCGAGTGATGAAACAAACCCCAAAGTGATCTCACATTTCCGCAGAGGTTTATGGTGTGTATGCAGTGCACAAGAATAATGTTCATGCTCTACCTGGTCAACTCAAAATGGGGGGGGGGAGCATTCGGTCGGTATGTAGTAGGACTCCACATTCCCTCACACATGAGTTCAAACACTCAAATAGTGGGGCAAACAGCACCATATCTTCCACGGCCACTAATCAGTCCAATCAGTTCTTACATCTCCTCTCTGCAGTGAACTCACGTCTTCCAAGAACACTGCTTCGTTGAAAGCTGTTGCTGTGGGATACCAGCACAATGCTCGATTACGGTCGAGAGAAAAAATGGAGGCGCAAAAGAGTGATTGATTCTAAATATCGAGCCAATATCTTATCTTTCGATATCAAAAACTGATAACGTCGATCAATTGTGATGAGCTGTGAATTTAACTTTCATGGATAACATGCAGTTGTTCCGAAATAGCTAGCGATGAACCCTTTTCTCTACTAGTACCTTTTTTGCCGTTGTGCTCTGCTCATCAGAGTGGTACCCAGCACATCACAGACCATGGACAGGCTTGGAGCTCAGCGTCAAGCGTGCGTCAGGTCGGTCCGATTATTCAAACTGCAACTACGGCTAGGGACGTAACTTCACGATGTAATGTTAGCGATGTGCAGAAGCCATATCAAGCAGTCAATCGCCCATTCGGAATTTCGCAAAGGGATATCTAATTTGGCCCACCGAGAAGGTGAGGGAGAGGGAGTCATATTCCATATTCAGAATATTTTAAAGAACCATTTCCTGTAAGTTGATTAATGCAATATTTTCTGATGCTGTTGTACGCTTACTCCCATTACAACACGAACAGGATCAGATTGGCTTAAAGGCAAAGGTCGGGCTTAGTGAACCTAACCAACCCTTTCGGTCATTCCTGTAATTGGTTACGCACCCATAGAGATGTTCCCATGCTCAAAATCTCAAACGACGCGGTAATAAGGCCTCAGGGCACGTACTATGCGCTATCGCCGCCTAGCCCCGCTACGACCGCCCACCTCGGGATGTGGCATAACGTGTGAAATCAGCTAGGTTGATAGCCGTATCAACCGATAGAACGACTGATATCTTCAGAAAACTTGTTTGTACGTGCCTCTTCCCCAAGCCAGCCTCCTTCATTGCTAGTGGGAAAGAGGGTTTTGTTAACGGCCTTGTCGACGGTTTTTCTCAGTTTTTTCTCCACTGTCGTTCCACTTCGCATCTCTATACTCAGTTTCAATCGCCATAATACCCCCTTATTGAGCCAGACTTTTGCCTTTAAGGCAAGGTTTTACGATGAAAAAGGAATTCATTTCAGATAAAGTTAAAGCCACGAGTCAGGATTAGGCAACCAGCAGAAGTTCTTCCCAGGGTGCGATAGTGGGCTCCCCAAGCACTGAGGGCGCGACACTATCGCGACCCAAAAGTGCGCGGCAATGGCGCTAAGGCCTTGCCCGCCGCGCTGCCCGCGCTGCCAGCGTAATCCACCACGGCATACGTGGTCTCTGCGTCCTCTCGTACGACGTACTATCTCGCGTTCTCCCTCTCCTCGCAGCGCTGTGTCTCTCCGTCGTACTACGGCCGGCCTCCTAAGGGAAATTTAGTGTTTTCTATGGTGCTTTTTGCTTTTTCTCCTCACTAATGTTCCTCATTGCACCCCTTGCCTAATGTTTGAACAAAATAACGCATCAATTCAATCCCGACTCGTGCCTTTAAGATTGTGAGTGGTACAGGAACGAAGGCAAAACCATAAGAAATA